CTCAGAAGTTCAAGTCCAGTTTTTTTTAATTTTAAAGAGAAAAAAATTACCAAAACAACAATGAAGAGAAAAACAAAAACACAAAAACAATACATGACCTCAGAACAAAATGATAGGAATTAACAATGGTTGCTACACTACATACTGTTGTCTTCAACGAAGTTGTTCAGTCCACCAGATGTAAGAATGCAAGATTGATCAGACAATCAAAGACAGTAACAAGTGATAAAAAAAAATTGGAAATGTACAGAGCTACACCATGCAAGATTATAGGAATTCAGCAGTGGTTCTTATATTTCATATTGTCTTCAAATCAGTCATTCTGATTACCAGATACAAGCATGAAAAGTTGGTCAAGAAAAAAGAAAATTTTAAACATTGGCTATTCTTTTCAATAAACCACAGACATCAGCAATACACCTATCCCAGCTATCCTTGTATATACATATAAATTTTTGTTTATTTTTTTATTTTTGTTACTTTGGCTTTTTTCTTTTCTCTTTAAAATGAAAGGTTTAGTTTTTATGAGTTCAGGGAAATGGTTCAGAAGCAAGCCAGGATTGAGAGTCTTTACTTAAAAACTTAAACTACAGAAAAATGAGACTTCTTCAAATCCTCAGTTCTAAGTGGCCATCTTCCTTTCACCTGCAAGTACACATGTGAATGCGCATGTGCCCCTCATATACACATACATGCACTCCGCACTCCAGAGTATGCAATATGTTGTTTGTTACATTTATTTCAGAGCTGGTGTTTGATATGCATAGAGTTGACCAGATAGTTGTCCCAGATAGAACTGAACTTTGGGAGAGAAAAATGGAAGAAATAGTCTTTTTTATTAAAATAATTATTCAGTTTTACTGTTAGATGATTTAGTTTTTTCTAAGAGGGGACTTGTTTTCTATTTTCTCCTTATTCCATAATCTTCCTTAAAGCCAGACATATTTCCAGTTTTAGCCCATGGCTCAACTTGAATATGGAGTTTTTAATGTGTCATGTAGTCTTTAACTTAAAACCACAAAAGATAGCCTGCCATGTCCCTTTAGGATTTAAAAAGTTTTTATTAATTCATTTTGTTAGGGCTTTTTATGTTTACTTGTGAATCTATCCAAGGCCTAGGCTCCCTGTCTGGAGATGGGCCCTGGACTCATAGTAAGTGAACCTCTGTGAGTCACTGATCCCTTCTGAGGCCTGTAACGGTGAATGAAGCAGGGAAGCCTCAAAGGATTAGACAAGATCACAGCCAAGGACACCTGGATCCAACCTCAGTTAGATAAAGACTGTAGCCTCAAGCATCTCGCTCCTGAGTGGATTAACTTAATACCTTATTGAAGAAGTGCTTGAGTGGTTCCAACCTTACTCCCCTGCCTTCTTCTGATAACTAAATAAATATGGGCCACCCAGAGAAGGGCTTGGTCTTAGCCTTGAGATAATCTCCAATTCTGTGAGAGGGCTTTGAGTCTCCTGGAGTGCTGAAATCATTCCATTTGCCTCTTTTATTTAGCCTTCACCATGCATTCATTTAGAAGATTGCGGACCTAATCAACCCGCAATAACTAAGGTATGTTATTAACCCAATACCTCTCCCTATGAATTAGAGTGCACGATCAGCCTCTGTCATGAAGACACAAGGCTAAAGCAGCTCTAACACCTGGCACTTCTTGAACTGATGACATCTGCCCCCATGCATGACTGAGTATGTTCAGAAATGGCTGTCTTACTCTCCTTTGGCTACTTTCCTTCCTTCTCTCACAATATTATAGAATCTGACCTTTCTCAAGAGGAGTTACTCCGCCAAGGAGAAATTCCCTAACAAATTGTGAATACTCTTATTGGAATAAGATAAATGATAGACATTTTTAAATTCTGACTTGAGCCCACAGTGAATATGCAGTATGATCAATATATAGACTGAATTCCTGGATTGCCTGCCTTTCCTTTCTGCATGTCCTTCTGCTCACATTCTAAAGTAGTTTTCCTGTCCATTCCTTGTAGAATGAAAGTAAGATGCATCTGCTGACTGGGTGATGGTTAGGTAGAATACACATGAAGTACAATATATGCCATTTATTTTCTAGAATTAACTGAATTAAATTTGATAAATTATGTACATACAATATCACATGTTGAGCAATAAATTTAAGGTGGTTTGAGGTCATCTTCAAGTAATAAGGAAATACAGATGACTTGAGGATCTCGTTAATTTTTACTTCCTGATTCTAGCTTGGGACGTGAGATTCCACTTTCTAACAGGTTCTCAGATGAGGTTAACAGACTGACTGTGCTTTCGGAAGGACTGCAATTGCAACACCAAATTGTTAAAGATAAAACAGTATAAAAATAAATTATGGTGAATTTTTAAGAAATGGTGGCTAAAGTTACACAATATAAGAGAAACCATAAACCTATGAAAATGTACACAGTTGAACTATACCCTTGTAAAGACACACACTCAAAAATAGCAAACACATAAGAAAAATAATCACTCCAAGGAACATTACAATTAGATCGCTCAAAATCAGAAATAAAGGAAACAAATTTTAGAAGCTGACGAAGGATGGTTGCATTCCCTGCAGATCAAACACAAGGGCGGCAGGAAGGTTTTGTAAAGAATGAGGTGGGATTTAGTGATCAGAAATGGGCTTTCTTTGTGTAAAAAAAATATTTTTTAGCATATTTCTGTGAAACAGTTTAAATTCAGAGTAAGATGTGTAGTTCTATTTAGTTCCAAAGATTATGTTAAAGACCTTTGTTCTACCTATCACCAAGCAGTTGCAGCTTATAATATTTAGTCACAAGGTTGCTCTTCGTACTCAGATATCTCTTTCTGTGGTGTGCTAAAGGCCAAGCTTTATTGTGTGTTACAGTGCAAAGTCTCAACAGTAACATTTCTTACTCAAATTATCTGCACTAAGAAGCCTAAGTTTTGTACCATCTGTTTAAAAAATGACTTCTGTAACAGATGTCCTGCGAAAAAATCTGAAGGTGATCCATGGCTATCCTATGGTGTATGCTTTTGCTAACAACTGGGAGAAGGTAGAGCCATTCCAAAGCAGGCCAGATGACATTGTAATATCCACCTACCCTAAATCAGGTGAGTCTGGGTGGCTGATGAACACGGGTCTGTTCTCAACTTTTGTTTTCCGGAGATCTTAAGCAAAGTGATTTTAAGTAGTGCAGCCATATACTTCTGGTACATTAAAATGGGCAGTTGAGGTATAGAAACTGCTGAAATAAAAATCCAATAGGATATATTAAAATGGCCTGCTTCCAAAGGTACTTTTCTCACCAGAACTGGCTCTTAATTATAAAAATGTTACTTTTTTCCCCAGGCACCACTTGGGTTAGTGAAATTGCAGATATGCTTCTAAATGATGGAGATGTTGAAAAATGTAAGCGAGATGTTATTAGTGCTAAAGTTCCAATGCTAGAATTTTATTTTCCTGGAATGCCAGTATCAGGTAACTTTATATAATTTTATAAGCATAGTTTTGTAGCATTATTTACTTAGCATATGTATTATATTTTAGACTCTGAAAAGTACAGTACTACAGTAAATTGTGCTAATGTTAAGTGCTATTTTTAAACTAATATAATAAGTAAGAGTATAGAAAGAAGCTGTTTTTAGACCACTGCACATTCAGGTATGATACCAAATATGAAACAGTTTTGTTGTAGAAAACAGCTGAACATGTTGGTGATAACACATATAACTTTCCTTAAGCATTATTGACTCTAATTTTGTACAATTTGACTGAAATAAGAAAATACTAACTTGGGACAATGCTAATATTAAATAAATATGCATCTATTCTTCTACATTTCTTATTAATACAGTTACCTTTTTATGCCATAAATATTTTTGAGTTTCTCTAAGTAATTCACTGTGTAGTATAGAAGTAAGGTGGTAAACAAAGTAGCTATCCTACCATAGGGAAGCTACAATAATTCTTTGATATTTTAAGTGAATAACCTTAAAATACATCAATGTTTTTAGGCTTATGTGTATCCAAAGTGTAGAGCAATACAAAGAAGAACTGCAGGAGAATTTTTTTTTAAGATTGGATGTTGGAGGATGGGTACTTTGAATTAAGGTTCAAAACCATACGTCATACATTTTTGATTGCAAGGTGAAATATTAGATTTAAAGGCTTTGTTGCTGAAAATACCAATGAAAGAAGAGATTTTTTAAAAAAAGCAATGAAAGGAGAGACTTATACAGACCATTGCAAAAAGGGAAATGTAGGAGTAGGAGGCAAAGCAATTGGAGATTGGGCAAGAACAGATTATGTTAATCTTGAAATTCTTAAAGGATTTAAAAATTTATCATAAACACTGTTAGAAAGACATTGAAGAGTTTTAATCTAGGAGGAGTTGTGGAATTTGGTTATCGTTGTTTAAAACACAGAAGTGCCATTGGCTTCTGTGTGGGATCGACCTGCAAATGCCCGATAAGAGATATTTTGGATTTCTTGATGGACTGTACAAGAAATATGAAGGAAATGAAACAATCAAAGCTGTTTCTCAGAGTTTTATTTTGATCAAACAAAAGCACTATGAAGCCATTTACTTTCATGGCTTATACGGAATATATTTGGGCAGGGACATATTTGAGTATAAAGAAATAGCCTTGGAAATGTTTGAAATGTTTCTGAATCTTTTAAATAATAATTATTTTAAATTGTAACATTTGGACAATATGCAAAAGTATTCATTAGACAATTTTCAGCATAAATGGGCATTAGAATCAGGGTTATTGTCCAGGAATCCTGTAGAGCAATAAGAACAGGAATGAAGTGTAAACATGGCCAATACATTGAGATTGGGTAGAGGAAAAGAACAAACAAATGAAACTTTAGAAAGACATACTCATTGAGCTCAGAGAGAAGGGAAGAATGTCTGTCCAATTGCGTATAAAAGGTAGAAGGATAGTCATATCCCTGTTTGTTTTTTTTGTTTTTGTTTTTTGTACCAAGAATCAAATTCAGGACCTTGCTCTTGCCTGGCAGGTACTGTTCTGCTGAGCTATATCCCAGCCCCTACATCCCTATCTGGACATCAGTTTAAGATGTGAAACTTAAATCCTCTCCCCTGGTGGAGATGGCACCATGGGGGACAGACTGTAACCTCCTAGGCTGACAGGGCCTCCTCGGAGGATATGTGTGGTTCATATATTTGTATGAAGTCAGAGGGCAAATATTAAACATTAAAATGGAAATATTATGCTGGGGTGAAACAACCAAAAAGAGTTCAAGAATGAGGTAAGTCTTAAAAACCATAGGAAATTATGAAAGGAAAAGTGATTGAACCAAAATAATGAGGAACCAAAAGTCAACTATTAAGGGTGGGAGGCAGAATTAGGGTGAGAGAAAGTGTGGATAGGAAGGGAGCTGCTAGGGTTCCGCCAGTAGATGTGGTCAGCTTTGATGTTCTCGAGAGCTGAATGTGGATACTTACAGTGTATTCAGATATTCCCATCAATTACATTTAGGAACAGAAAGTGTTCATTTTAGTATCTCATATGCCAGGATAGAAGAGACTTAAGTACTTTTAGGGAAGAAAAGGGATAAATTAGGAACAATAGGTGTCTGAAAGGCTTCATGAAAGTAACAGTCATAAGGTATTTTCATAAGGGGACATAAAGGAATACTGAGTTGTGGAGGTTTGCAATTTCTTTGCTTTGTAAAATAGGTGTAACTATCAAATAAGTAGCACAATAAAATCACTGGTGAAATTATAGAGGTCTATAATAAATGCTGATAAAATTAAGGACACACAATGAAATTCATAATTCATATAGCCCTTTCCTATATTATAAATTCAACCCAAATACTGCACAAGAGATATTACACTAGAAAGCATCTGTCATTTCTATGAAACTGAACTGCAACTGGGCATCTGACAATCTTATTTCTATTGATATAAAACAGCCATCTTAATACTGTGTGCTAGTTACAATTCTGGACATTCACTGGTGAACAAAACAAGTTGCACCTCTGTTCTGGTGGAAACCTCTTTCTATTGTGTATATTTGGGGGTGCCATGTAGGGGTCATGGGAATAGAGAATAAACAAATAAGCAGCTAAACTACTAAACACTAATTTGTATTATAACATTAGAAGAGAAGTTTATAATAGAATTCCTAGCATTTATAACAATGAGTTGCTTGTTTAGACTGGGTAAATCAGATACAATTTTCTGCAGGTAGACCTCCCTCTGCAGAAAGTGGCAAGTTTATGTAGGATTAACAGGTAATTCAGTAGTTAGATTGAATGTAAGTTATGTTGTGAAAAATAAATATCAGATCATGCATAGGTCTTTAAGATATATTTGATCAGAGACCTGTAGGAGTCCAAATTAGTAAACAGACATTATTAGCCTTCATCTGGGAGAGTGGAAAAGGACAAAGGTTATGAGATATTTTAAAAATAGCTATAATGAGTCAAGTATGGTCAGGAATTGAATCAAGTAAGGTTAACCTTAAAATGTATGCCATTACCTGTTACACAATATTGCCTCCTGGAATCCAGAGAAATGGCGGTTTGTTGCAAAATTTAGCTTCATTATGTACATACTGCTCAAATGTATTTTGGAAAATTGGTTGGGAATACGAGGAAATGCTGGCTCTAATATTTTTATATACCAAATTAAATTTCTCAGCTGTAGAACAGTTAGAGATGAACCCTTCACCTCGGCTTGTGAAGACACATCTGCCAATTGATCTTCTTCCTATGTCTTTCTGGGAGAAGAAGTGCAAGGTACAATCTAGACAGCAAGTTAAATGTCTATGTGGCTCTGTTCTTTCCCCACTCAAACAGAAATGAATGGTTAAATGTTTCACTGATCCGTGAACATGAGAACTAGCTTCAATTACCACAAAGAAACGCTTCAACTAAAAGAAAAATTTCGACCTAAACTTTCAAACTTAAGTTTTCCAATCTTGAAAATCAATCAAATCCTCATATCAGCACAATACTTGGCAATCTCATTTCTCCACTGTGTTGATATTGTGGCATCTATAAAAACTCAACATAAGGATGTTAGATCCTTTTTGTGTGATTAGCAAAATTCTTAAATGAAACATTGGCATTTGCATGTTTTCTTTTGGACAGAATTTGAGCTTCAACATTATTTTTTTCCAATAACTATACTGATATTCAAATTATTTCATTTTACCTGGCAATTGCTGATTTCTTTATTTTATTTTATAATCTTTTTGCTGATTTATGATATGGGAGGAATTTTCCCAGCTGGTTATGAATGAAAAGTTTATTTTATGCTTTTCTTATTTTTTATTTTTTCTATTGTTATTCTTGTAATGAAATAGCATTTCTTAGGATATTCCTTATTTTTTCTTGATTGAGGTTATTTGCATCTTTTGTAATTTTTTTATTAATCTTTCTAGTATTTTAACATTTTAGGGGATGAATTTTTTTTTCTTTGTAGGTTGTAATATTCTATAAATTGTGATTAGACTCTTTTGCTGGATTTAATTGATTCTGTATTCTTGCTTAATTTGTCTAGTAGTTCTATCAATCGCTGATGGTAGATTCTAAACATCCTCAACTATAATTGTTAATAATTACATTTTGTAACCTCTATCTGCCATTTTATTTTTGTTTGGTGTTTCTTTCCTTTGTTTTTCAATCCTTTTTTCTTTCTTTTTTCCATTCCTTTTGTGTACCTACCTTTTTTAGTTTCCTTTTGATTTAGTTATATATTTTTCTGGACTTTTGTGTAGTTTTCTTAGTACCTTTTCCAGGAATTACAGTTATCATATATAACTTATAACAGATTATTGATGCCAACATTTTACTTCAAATAAAGTATAGATATCTTCTGTTTAGATCTCTTACTTGTCCCATATTTTAATTATCATAAACCTAAATGATTCCTATATGTAAATAAACCATCTTATCAGATAGTGCTGTAACTTTTATTTCAACTGAAAAATAAGAGTAAAGAAACTCATTAGTCTAATTTATTAGATTTTCATCTATTTTTACCCACTGTCTTGTTCTTTTTCCTTTCTGAAATTTTCATCTGTGTGTTGTTATTTTGTTTTTCTTCAGACATTTCTATTAGCCATTTATTAAGGTAAGTTTGACACTAGTAAATTTTGCTAATCTTCCTTTGTATTGCACTGGAATGTATTTCCTTTCTTGTAGGAGAGGTAGATATAGGATTTGAATTTGATGATATTTTGCTTTCTACTCTTCTTCTTCATATATGACTCTAAGTGAGAAATTCATTGTCTTTCAAATTGATGATCTTAAATATCTAACCTGTGGTAGCTCTTTGGTTGATTTTTTTTTTTATTTATCTTGATTTTGAGAAGTTGATTTACAGTATCGATGTGACTTTGATTTTTTTCTGTTTTGGAATTCTGTTCTTGGATATATAGATTTCTAATTTTTTTTGACATATATTGAAAGTTCTTAGACATCAATTCTACAAATGCTTTTTTCTCCTATTATGCTGGAACCCTAAATGAAAGCTCGTAACAGTATGCAACCACAGGCAGTGTGGAGGATGAATAGATTGATTAGAGATAAAATTTACTTCAATCTGTAGAGAGGAACAAAGGGATATTTCTCCACTGAGAGCACCCAGCCACTGAGGAGATGGTGGGAGAAGAAAATGCAACCAAGTCAAGAACTTTCTGGCTTTTATTTAGAATGTCAGTGTGCAGGGAAAATGCAGGAGGAAAAGCAACTTGGGCCAAGAGCTGTCTCAAGCTAGGCAGTGTTTCTTGAGCAAAAGGAAAGGGCATGTCCAGACATACATGCTTTACTAATCTAAACTTGTTTTTAAAGTACTTTATTTTCACACAGCCTCTGTGGTTTTGCCTTATAGTTCAATTATTTTTTTTCCCTAGCCTGCATGTCTTTTGCCTTGCATTTTAATTATTTGTGTGATTTTTGTCCCATATTTTTTTCAGAAGAAATAAAAAATACAAAACAATAATATGAAAACAAAACAACACCATTAAACATGGTACAGAATTTCAAAACAAGATGATAGGAAATTAACAATGGTTGTTATATTACATATTGTTGTCTTTAAAGTAGCTGCACGAATTATCAGATATAGGTATGCAAGACCAATGAAACAGCTGAGCATTAGCTGATTCATTCAATAAACCGATAGGAATTAGTAGTAGAATTATCTTAGCTATTACATATATTATATATATATAATAATATCTTAGCTATTATATATATATATATATTTCCCATCCTTCTTTTTGCCTTCCCCCATCTCAGTTGTTCTCTCCTTTTAAAAAAAGATAAATATAACAATGAAGCCCAGTTTTAAAACAAGTTAGGGACTGGGGATTTAGCTCAGCGGCAAAGCGCCTGCCTGGCAAGCGCAAGGTCGTGAGTTCGGTTCCTGGTACCAGAGGAAAACCAA